ATGAGGAATGGAATGTAATATGTAAGAATAACACAATATTGACCTCAATATTTCGATGACCATTCAATGGCTGCTGAGCTTCTTCTTGAAGTTTCTTCAGCTGCTTCTTTTCCCATATACCAGTACATCATCCGCAGATGTCTTTACTCCTGCCATTTCTTCTATTGCTTGATGCTGCCCAGGCTGAAATTGCTCTGGTGTTCTGCAGATACAAAAGACCATATACAACTTCTTCACAGTTAATTACAAATAGGGCCATTTTCTTTCTATTGTTCACATTTTTGCTCACAGGACTGCTGAGCTGGTTCTGATGGATATTTAGGCAATCTCACCAAATGCTTTCAAATCTGAGGTGTGATCTGAGTTCTCCATGGCTCTAATGAGTTCTCTATAGAATTCTGACGAAGGGTCGTAGACCTGAAATGTTGACTCATTTCCTTTCTCCATAGATGCTGTCTGACCTGCTGAGTGTTCCCAGCGACTTCAGTTTTTGTTTCAGATTTCCAGCATCTGCAGTATTTTGCGTTTTCTCTATAGAGTTCTGATGGCTGACCAAAACTTGCTTGCATTATGCTAAGCTTAAGTTTGCTTCAGTAAGGAGCCTCTCCCCACGTCTGTTTCGAATTTCACATGTTGTTGAATCTGATCCATGATTCACGAAATTCCCCAAAATTGCAAGTCGTTACTAAAATATTCAGCTCTCCAGTTGTTCATGGTTGTGGATATAAAAACTTAGTAATTACTAGTTGCAAATGTCTACATTACTTCTTCTGGTTGTGTTCTTCCATGCCTCTGACAAACAACAACAACAAAATTACATTTGTATAGGACCTTTCACATCGGGAGGATAACCCAAGGTGCTGGACAGAGTTTCGGACCCGAGCTGGGGATCGGGAATGAGGAGGATGGAGGGCGGGGGGGAAGCAGGGAGATCGGAAGCATGGTCAAAGAGGAAGGTCTTGAGATGGGTCTTGAAGGAGGCAAGAGAGGGGGCGAGGCTGAGGAACTGCAGGATGGAGTTCCAGAGGGTGGGGGCAGAGGGGCAGAAGGCCCGCCCGCCAATGGTCAAGCAGGCGAGGTGGGGGACATGACTCAGGCCGGAGCCCATTGAGCGGAGGCAGTGGGCAGGCTGGTAGGTGGTTAGGAGGTCGCAGAGGTAGGGGGAGCAAGATCATGGAGGGCTTTGAAGGTGAGGACCAGGATCTTGAATTGTGTCCTCTGTGATGGGAAGCCAGTGGAGGATGGGGTGATAGGCAAACTTCACAGTGCTTACATAACTCTCTGAACTGATGTCTAGTGTCTAGTAGGTACAAAAACATTTTAACTTTCAGCTTCTCATCTTTGTTGCTTATTGCAAGTTCCATACATAACCGTCTGGCATCACAATATTTCACAGTAAAATTAAAACCATTAAAAACCAAACATCCAGTTTGGGCAGGATGAGTACAACATTATCATGGCCTCGTAACCTGCTGAATTTTCTCTTTATCAGGAACAATCAACTCAGACTAACCACCGCCTCATATCTTATCCTCTGAAAGGGGATAAGTCCTAAATGTTTGCCTCAACTCCTACTTTTTTTTAATCACACACAACTTTTCACAGAGGAGGTAGCCAATTTTCAGACCTTTGGGGCTTTTCTAATCTATAATGCAGTTATTTTAAAAAACAGATAATGCATCTTTGAAGCACAGCCTTTGTACATTTCTCAAAAATGACGAAATGCCCTGGATCCTCTCCCAGCCTTTTTGAATGTATAGACGCTGAAGAGCCTGGTAAAGTTGTCTACTCCAAGAAAAGGACAATTTATTACTTGTTACCTCCACACCTGATTCTGAAAATGATTGCAGAGTGACAGTGGCTCCACTGATGATGGCTTGATCCTTAGACCTGCTATAAATAGATATCTGTCAACTTTCAGTTCATTTTGCAGCCCAGAGGTTGAAATTTCTCATGACCGTAGGTTTAAGACCATTGCCTTTAAATTTAAGATTCTGCAGAATTTTGGAAATTTCTAAAGTGCAGTCTTAATTTGGAAATTGATTTATTCCACATTTCATATCATTAATTCCTAGTAAAGAAAGTAACACATCTTGTTCACAAAGACAGTGAATCCTTAAAGACCGATAATTATAGAGAATCTTAAAAATAAAACAAACACAGCTAGTGTAACAAAAGTTACAGTTCTCTGCCTCACTAAAAAGTATTTGCATGAAGACTTTCTCTTTAAAACCAAATTGAAGCAGCTTCCCTCCCAAAACACACAGTCAATCCAATTCACAGTATATCCTGTGAAGTACTTTGGGATGTCTCGACAATGTAAAAAGTCTCTATCAAATGCAAGCAAATTATTGTATTATTATTTGTGTGGCTGTGGCAAATTGTAATTTACAAGGAAGGTTATATTTCTTTGAATTTATTTTGCCTCAACCCATTGTCTTTCCCCATTGTTGCCACATATGCAGATTATTTACTCTTTCACAAATATTTTAATTTCTATGAAAGTCTGTTTTTCTCTTTGCAGTCTGTTTCCACTGCAGTGTCTGCCAAACTCAGTTGGCAACACTCTCGCCTCTGTCTTAGAAGATTGTGGGTTCAAGCCTCGTGTCAACACTTTGAACACACATAGTCTAGCTAACACTTCAATGAAATGTTGGAGGTGCACTCCATTGCACGACAGGCCATACTTCAAATAAGATGTTAAACGGATGTCCCATCTGCCTGATTATGTACATTAAAGATCCCTTCGCACTACTCAACAAAATAGAAGGGAGTCTCTCCCAGAGTCCTGGCCAATCCCCCAAATAAAATTAGTCATTCACTTCGTAGCTCTTTGTACGTAAATTGTCTGTTGTGTTCGCCTATAAAACAATCACTATGCTTTACAATAAATCCTGTGAATGCCTTGAGACATTCTCCTGATGTGAAAGGTACTATATCAAATACAAGGATTATTATTTATTATTGAAAGCACTGAGGAACGACTGATCTGTATCACTGAATTCACAAAGAATGGCCAGTAGTAGTAGCCAGTATCTTGCAGATCTTTAGATGTGTAGTGAGTTACATTTTTAAAATACTCTGCTCCTGTGAGCCTTGCTCATTTCAAAACAGGCATTTTCTAATGTGTGTGGAGGGACGTTCAAACTGAAGGTCGCCCTTTTACTTTTCTGAATCTTTTAAAAATTGCAAATCGCTGCAGAGTCAAATCGGGGCACTATTCAAATGTCATTATGTGGCCAGATTGTGTGCAGTGAAGATCCTGAAATTGTGCACCTTAACTTGGAGAATTAGGAGCTCTTACAATAAAGTGGAAGTAAAATGAAAGTCAATTTAACCATCCTGTAGCAAAACAAGAAATTATGGCTAATTACTGTAATAAATGCATGTCAAGAGTGAAACCACTGTCGACAGATGTTTTGCCATTATATTTCTAGGCAGCACAGTTGTATGACAGGCATGCATTCTTTCTTGCCCATTAGCTGGAAAGGGAGGACAGCTTTGTTTCTGATGTAATGGATTGTGAATTAGCCATTGATTCCTGTGAGCCACTGTTGTCCTGGAGTTATACCATAATTGGCTGATTACCACCATAAAGAGATGAGATATCCTGTATTGGAAGCAGTAATATTGCACCATGCCATTTGTTATAAAACTGCTATTGATCATTATGGTATATTGAAACGTATATGGGGGGGACACATGACTGAGGCAGATCTGACATGACAGAAATTAACAAAGGGTAGAAGAATTCATACACCCAGAATTGATTCTTGCAATAGTGAGCTCTCTGGGACCTCAAGGTTTGTTTACAAAAATGAATTGATAAGTTCATTGATGGATTGATTTCACATCGAAGCAGGGTGAAGGTTTATATCAGTGATTCTACATACAGTCATTTATTTAGTCACGGTCAGAAAGGGATGGAAATCTGACAAGCAGGCACAAAGGGAGAGAGCAAATACCAGAGAAAGTCTATCTGTGCTCTTGTTGTCATTTCCCATCCGTCTATTCCTTCCCCCCCCACCACCGGGTGCCCAGTCAACTACGTAAAGCACTTTGAGATTTTGTCCCAACGTGAAAGACGTTAAATAAATGTAAATTGTTGTTGTTGTATCATGCTCCTTAGAGCACTGGGTACAGGATGGTATTGAGTGAACTCTGGAAACAGTTACTTGTCTGTCCTATTGGTTCAGTAGTGGATAAGAAGAACAATTTTAATGGATGGGAAAACTAAAGGGCAATTTTTTTTATCAACAATTTTTTAAAAAATGTTTTAAACAAATACTATTGAATTAGAAATTCTCTGTACTTCCATATATTTCCTGGCTTGAATCCTGGCTTGTAATATATAGCCTGCTTCAGATGTATACAAATGAATTAGCCTTTCAGTAGTGCCATTCAGCAAGCTGTAGGTTATGTGGTTAAAGAGCCTTTCAGAGAGAAATGGCTGAAAGAATATTTGTCAGGAATTAAGGGGTACAAGTACTGGGCTATTGCATTTATAATACCAGTGTTGGATTTACACTAACTCCTAATGAGTTTGGAACTAGTGGGTGGGAAGGTTAGGAACACAATCAGGAAAAGCACAGTTTCTGCATTCAAATTCTCTATTTTTTAAGACTTGAAAATCCAGCTGCCTTCGTGCCGGTTAGAAAACAATTCTGAGTCACTAACTTTTAGAGATTCAGAATACCTCAGGCTGTAGGAACTGTACAGCTGTGCAGGCTAATCTTTTGTAATTTATTGCAATTGCCTTTGAAGCTGTTTTATTTATATAATACCTACATCAGTTCTCAATGGTCATACAAAATACATTCATGTTGCATTTTATTTCATTTTTAAAATATATATGGTACTGTTTTGTTTTAAAGTAATTAAAACCAATGACAGATGTGTTCCAAACTGGAGATTGGACTTTGGGCTATAATAACATAATGTACATAGATAGTGACATTGAAAAAAAGGCCCAACTTATATTTTATTTTTCTTCTCTTCAGAGATGTAAACTACATCACAAGCTGGCTCAGCATGGTGGGGCCAGTGGTGGGACTGGATTTGCCAACTAGCTATGCTACAGCCATGTCACAGTGCATCTGAGGTCCTGACTTGAAAAGTGAGTAGGTCTGCACATTATCTTACTATGTCTATTTTCCACAATATATTTTCAGTTTAACAACGGAGTCTGAAAAGCTCTCTACTAGTGCGAGTGTGTGGGACTGATGAGATCTGGGGTTGGTGAGATGGTTTGGTGGATCTGCACATTGTACAGGGGTTTCCATAGAGAAAGATATGCCATGTTGGAGATAGAGCACACTTAGACCCCAATGTCTGGAAAGAAACCAAAGAATTGGGTATTTCAGTTATCTACGTTCTACTAGCACCAGTCTAGGCTTGATGGGCTGAATGGCCTCCTCTAACAAATACAGTTTAATTACAGAATAAACACTGTACCTGAATGACAATTTCACCTCTCTTTTTCTTCTGTGGACCTTTATTCGGAATGGCTAATTAGCGTTATACCACTATTCCGAAATAATTGTTCCGATGATCATCCATCCTCAATGTGCATTAGCTGTTCAATCCTCCATTACAATAGTAAGCAAAATGTAAGTGCACCTTGGTATTGACAAGGATACTGTGAAGGGCAACTAGATTCATAGCTGGAAATAGGCACCTGATTTACGAGAGGCCACGGACACTGGGAATGTCACAGTGGAGACCTTGTTGGCGTTTCCAAAATATGGATAAACTTGAGCCCTGAGCTCCTATGCTGTAGTTGATATGGTTTTATGAATTATGACAGTATTTATACATAAAGGACAGGAAGGGTTGTGGCTGCACCAGAGAAGGAAGTGGGAGGGAAGTGGCAGCAACTCTAGAAAGGCAAATGTGGTGGATATGTGAGAATATAGCAACATTATGCAAGATATTAATGTATTCTAATACTTAGCAGGGATTGTCTGAAATTAATGGATGATTAGATAAACCAATAGTGCATGTGTTAATAACCCCTCATTTTATTTAAACATTAACACACATTATATCTACTCGTGCTTTGCCAAACCTTCGATTAAAAGCATTTTTTTTAAATTGTTTTTTGATGTATATTATGGCTGGATTAGCTTAAGCAAAATTCATATTCATTTCAAATATACCATATCTTGCATTCTTCACAATATTAGCGTAACTCGCATTTTGCACGATCGTTTATCCTGTGTCATTACAACAGGAATAATCACATAATGGAAGAAAAAAATTCAAGAAATGTTCCTCTTTTGTGTTCTATTGTAGCGAATGGAGAAAATGGAGAGATGCAGAATCCAGTAGGTGTTTGTTGCTCAGCCACAGTCATCACCGAATTATCAGAAGCGTATCAATCTTTGACTATGCGGCATCCATTAAGCAAATGAAGAAATAGGTGCTGTCGAGCATAGCTCTCAGCATTAGCTGCTTGTGCTCAGTACTCCTCACTTTGTGGTCGTCTCTTTCCGTGTTAGCAAAGAAAATGTATCTGTGTCGTGTGATGTATTACTGTATTGTTTTAAAATGTTAAAAAAATCAATGGTGTCTCAGCTGTAAGATATGTTGTTCAGACAGTATGGCAGTGCAAGCTCATGCAGCCATTACTCAACATGTGAGCTAGAATGCAGAAGAATGAAAAGTAAGAGCACACATTTTTTTCCCCCCGAAATGAACCAGAAAATGGCTAGCACACCCTCCTGATAAGGGATAAAAATAAAAATTGGCATGATATTAATTTGATCGTTTGAATATAAAGTTGACGACAACATACTGTGTTTGTTTGTAGTCAATTGAATAATGGCAAGATGTAACCATAGAAACAAACTTTCCTCTGCTTGTACAGTTCTCAAAAAAAAACTCGTACACTTGGACAGATGTGAACGTTGCTAAGGATACGTAGTTCTAGATTTGTTAGGGTTTGATTTTGAAGTGTTGTCACGGTGCCTGCAAATCTTTTAATGTTCAGGCAGAGACTATACAAAAGGTATACATGGTAAACTCTGCCATACCATAAAAGCCTTTGCTGTAAGCCAGAAATCAGAATGGCTATACAAGGGAGCCCTCTTCAGGTCAAATCAGCTTGTTAGCGGGAACGCCAGCACTTTTTTTTAAATTGAAGTATGTAAGTGTATTCAATGCTATAATTGCAGTATGGGACATTTAACAAAATTATTGCCTTTGACTGAAATATTCAGTGGGAATATTCTCCAAATTATTTGTTTTGTTTCAATACTCAGTATTTCCACACATTTGTGTCAGTTTGGCTCAGTGGTAGCACTTTTGCCTCTGAGTCAGAAGGTTGTGGGTTCATATCTCACCTTCGAGTTTGAACTCACATATTCTAAGCTGACACCAATGCAGTGTTGGTGGTGCCAATGTTCAGATGAGACGTTAAACCAAGGTGCCCTCTGCCTGTTCAGGTGGACATTAAAGATCCTGTGGCACTTTTCAAAAAGAGAAGGGAGTGTCTCCTGGTGTCTTGGCCAACAATCCACCAAATAAAATTGGTCACTCGTTTCATGGCTGTGTGTGTGTACAATTATGCTGCTACAAACAATCACTCCATTTCACAATAAATCCTGTGAAGCGCTTTTGAATTATTTAATTATTTTTGTTTACTTTGTTGGAATTTTGTTGAAGCATTCCATCATTGGCAGCTAGCTGCCTGGTTAATGTCACCGCTATAATTATACCACTTCAATAAAGTATAAATAGGTCAAGGATGTATCTTTGTACAGCAAGTCTAAATTGACTTCCTTTATTAAAAAAACACTGTTAAAGAAACCTATTAAATACTAAAAGACAATGAATTCCTTATTCAATGTACAAATGTTTAAAATCCTACAAAAGTGTTCCTTTTAGCTATTTGCGCCTTATCTTTTCCGCAAGCTTTTTGCAACAATGCAACATTAACTTTCACATTGATGAACATCAGAAGGCGCTTAGCAGATATAATAAAACACCAAGCAAGGAAAAAGGGAGAGGTAAGGATGGACCAAAAGCTCAATCAAAAGACATGTTTTACACAAAGGCATTCCAAGAGGAAGGAAGGCAAAATATTTGGGAAGATAGATCCAGAGGACAGAAGTAACCAACAAATTACTCGTGCCATGCATTATTCACAAAAATATCTATGCAGTACATACTATGTGCACAAAAAAAAAGAGCCACTATGAACATAATTTAACTCGGTTGTCAGCTAGGCCAAGTGTTACTCGTACACATGACAACAGAAAAATAATTGAGTGACTGTACAGGCTTCCTATCTCAAACTTGTGCCACAAATCAATAATTTCTCTGTTACTTAAAGGCTCCGCAAAGACACGAGACTAACTCCTTTCAACTCCATCACCCATAGTTTCTGAAAGTGTCACAGTGAAAATATGGTTACTAAATGACAACTTCCACTCTCTCTTGTTTGGACCTTTAATTGTAATATCTGATCAGTGTTGCTGCACTATTCTGAATTCATTGTTACAATGATCATCCATGCCCTTTTAACATTAGCTGTTCAATTCTTCCATCGGAACAATAAGTACAAAGTATTTTGGCATTAATGAGAATACAGTAAAGGGCAGCTATAGATTCATAGCTGGAATTAGGTACCTGATTTACAAGGGGCCACAGACCCTGGGAATGTTCACACTGAAGACCTGGTTGATATTTTCAAAATGTGGATAAACTGAGCCCTGATAGTAATCCTTGCATTTAATGTAGCACCTAATGTGCCACATGGATTTCTGAATTTCAGTGGTTAGACCAATCATCTTGCAAGCGAGAGACCTGGGTTCGATTCCCGGCAGGGCAAAACCATAGACAAATTTCCTTACTCTACACACCTAATAATAATACCTCAAGAAAAAAACAATAATAAATTGGTCACTTCAATCCACAACTGTTTGTGTGACACTGCTGTGCGCAATTGGCTGCCGCATTTCGCCCACAAATATACAGTCAATTCACTTTACAGTATATTCTGTGAAGCGCTTTGAGACGTCTAGAAAACGTGAAAAGCGCTATATCAAATACAAGGATTATTATTATTATAACGTTCAAACATCTCAAACTGCTTGACAAGTATTTTCTGTCAGGTATAGTTATTGTATATTTGTAAATATGATAGTGATTTCCTACCCGAACAAACAGACTAAACCTCAGTAAATGTCTCTTCCATAGTTGCACTGAGTGTCAAGCCGACTGACGTGGGACTTGAACCCACGATCTCTGACTCTGATGTGATACTGTTACCAACAGAGCCAAGCTGACACATGTTATATTTCAACATTGCATTTCAGAAGATGGAAGATAAATGGTCAGCTTAGATTTGATAATTATTGGTGGTGAATTTGTAGATTGGGGATTTGAAGGCAAATTGTTTCATCAGATTGAGGAGAGAATTAGGTACAAATTTGGGGTAAAATTCACAGGAGCAATAGGGTAGTGTAACATCTGAGTTTATTATCAGCCCAGTGGATAGCAATCGTCACTTCCATTCTATACCGTCCTGTGTTCCTGTTTTCAAAGGATCCACCCATGTTTAACTAGCTGTTAAGTGGTTTATTTTCGCCTTGATCACACTTTATCCAATTTACAAACCTTTTCAAACATTTTCCACAGTATACATTTCATGACATCTGGTATTGACAATCTACAAGTTAAAAGTAGTATGAAATACGTTCAGAGGAAGAAAACCCTTCAGACCATTTGATGTCAAAATTATTTCTTAAATGAATCCAGAGCACGAAGACTTCTTGCATTTGTATAGTGCTATTCATGCGGGATAGCTTCTTGTAGCGCTTAACAGCGACAGAGCTTGATGCCGAACTGGGAGACGGGAGATGACTGTCGGCATAGCCAAAGAGGAGGCTCTTCAGATGTAATTTGAAGACGGGCAAGGTGGAGGGATTGAGGCAGAACACTGTACAGTCCTCCAAATATGACCTAACCAAGGTTTTATATAACATGACTTCCCTACCATATACTCTATTCCTCCAACCATAAAGCCAAGGACTTTATTTGCATTCTTTATAATCGTGTTCACCTTTGCTGCTAGTTTTACAGTCCTGTGAATCTGAAGATTTCTTTGTTCCTTTACCCCTCTTAGGTTCTTACCATCCAAGGTATAGTTTTTCTCCCTCAATCTTAAAATTCTGAAACTTTAAATTCCAAAAACAGTGTTCTGGGAACTGGTCTCAGACTGCTTGAGATTGAATCTTTTTTATTTGGTCAGCCAGGTGTCTGACACACATGAGTACCCAGCTCCGTGCTTAATGGTATCCAAACAAAATTGCTGAGAGCTCCACGTATGCATGGAAATCTGTTTGTTTGGAATGGAGTGCACACTTTCTCCCTGGTGTGATTCACCTTGCTCACCTAATCCCGGAAAGTATCAGACGCAGGTTGGCAGGAACCAAGGCTTGGGGACCACAGAGTGTGCATTGCTTAAGCTTAAACTGCACAGTTTGCTGTTTACTGAATACAGCAGATTAAGGTCTTAAAAACTCCATATGCAAATGATCCAGGAACATCCTTATATTTTTGGAGGCCAGCCAGGTATCTGACCCACGTGGGAACCCATGACCATACTTTAGAGTCTCCAAACCAAACTGAGAAGAACATAAAGATTGAAACATGAAAAGTCAGTTTGAGAATTGAGCCTGATCCCTGCAGAAAACGTGAACAACTTACTACTTCATGTTCTCTGTTCAGCCCACTCAAAATTAGCATTGACAAGCAACATCTTCAAGAAGATAAAAGAACTATAAAATGTTAACATTTATCATCCATAGAGATATTAGAGCAAAACCCTAGGGTAGTAATCCAAATCTACAACCCATACTATCATATTTGAGTAATTGTATTATAATAATAATCCTTGAATACAATGTTAGTTTGATACAATGTTTTAACACGTCATTGAGTCATATTAAGTGTAGTGACTGTATTTTGTAGGCAAACATAATAGCCAATCTGTGTACAGGAATGTCCCACAAATAGCCATGACATGAATAATCAATTTACATGGCAACGGGAGAAACTCCCTTTCAAGTAGTACCATGGGATCTTTACCATCCACTTGAAAGGCAGAGGTGGCCTCAACTTAATGCCTCATCTGAATGGCAGATCTCTGATATTTATACAATTATACTTGGGAATAACAGCCAGTGGTTGGATAAACCTGCATTGCCACCAGCCAACCAGAGGTTTTGGAATAAGTCAAGGACAGGTCCTTATTGTTTAACAAACATTACAGCAACAACTTTTGATTATATAACATCCTTTAAATTGGTCACTTCAATCCACGACTGTTTGTGGGACGCTGCTGTACGCAATTGGCTGCCGCGTTTCGTCCACAAAATATACCGTCAATTCACTCTACAGTATATTCTGTGAAATGTTTTGAGACATCTCAAAGACATGATAAGGCACTATATCAAATGGAAGGATTATTTGTGTAAGATAAAGCTCAGAGTGCTTCATGTCAACAGAAACGGACACTAAAATCGTGAGCACCAAGATTTATAATTCAAATCACTGTCACCACCTTGCTTTAAACTCTCTGCAAACTTTGAATTCTTGAAACTAACAGCCAAGTTAATAAGTTGATTATTAATTCACAATAACAAAATTGGCCAGTTATGTTTTGCCTCTCACAGACAAGACTCATGTACCTTATTGCAAAATAAACATACATTGTTTTTGCTATTTCCCAGTGATCATTAATTGGTCACCAGTCAATAAACTGGATGTGATTATGAAGCAACAGAAACTTTTTAATCTTAATTTTAATCTTTTCGCGGGGGCTACTCAGATATCACAGGCGGACCACCCATAACATAAACACTTGATATGACATCTGCTGCCGGCACATAAAGACCTTATGTACATTCTAACGGTATCTAAAAGCTGATACCCTGTCATCATTTCAACCATTAAATTGCTTGTTCAGGTAAACGTTTTATAACCTATTCAAATTTAATTCTTGCGATTTATGAAATCACCTGAGTCCCAAAATAAGATGTTTATGACCTTGCTATTACTGCCAATTGGTCATTCATTATTCTGTACATGAAAATTTTATAGATTCATAAAATGTTGCGGCACAGAAGGAGGCCATTCGGCCCACCGAGTCTGTGCCGGCTCTTTGACAGAGCAAGTCACTTTCACTAAGCTTTCTCCCCATAACCCTGCAAACCTGTCTTCCCCAGATACCTATCCAGTTCTCTCTTAAAAGCCGTTATTGAATCAGACTTCA